GATAGATAGAATGTAGAGATAGATAGACAGATATATTTTATCTTATATCTGTCTATCAATCTCTATATTCTATCTATCTATCTCATATTTTAAAAGATAGAGATAGAATGTAGAGATAGACAGATATAAGATAAAATATAAGAGAGAGAGAGATTGAATGTAGTGATAGATAAGATATAATGTAGAGATATAGGGATAGATAGATCGATAGAGATATAGAGATATATATGAATGTATATATATATGTATGTGTATGTAGATATATCATGAACAAGTGTAAGCGCATGTTTGAATGTGCATACGTGCATATACGTACATGTGAACACGTACATAAATGCACATGGGCATGTGTGTGTGTGCATATATGTACATGGATGCGTGTATTCACATATGGAAACACGCATTCACGAATGCGTGCACAAGGGAGTGTAGGCACAGAGGAATGCACCAGAGGTCAAATAATTCAAGATGGCAGCTGGTGGAGCCATGCCACCAAAGCCACAGCCTCTTTCTCATTTAATCTACCTCTGGAGCCGTCCCCTTGGCTGCCCAGATGCCCCCTACCCCCTATTTCCCCCCTCCCAGAAGGCGTCTGTCTGCCTAGGTGTGCTCACACACCCATGTGCGTATTTGTTAGATTACAGCACTTCCAACACTGAGGTTGCATAACCGCTATCGCAATATATAACATTTTGCCCAGCCAGCAAGTAGGATTTTCCCCTCCTCCCTCTGCTAACAAACCACCATTTCCAGGAAGAAACGCAACCGGGAAGAATGTCCCAGGAGTTGGAGAAAGGGGGCAGCCCAAACTTACTCCACACCTCTTGCTTTGCTAACGTCTAGCTGTGATTTGTGACGGCTTCCCTTCTCCTGTTTTCATGAATTCTGCTTTTAGCAGGCGTGAGTAACTCCTTGAGTATTTTTTTTTCTCCTCTCTTTAGGTATATCTTGGTTCCCGGGTCAGGAATGAGATAAGGAGTCAAAAGTCTCCCAAACCAAAAGAGAGGAAGACAAAAAAAAAAAATATTCAAGAAAAGAAAAGCTGGGAGAAAAAATAAAAATAAAGACTTGTAAAAACAGTGAGGTGGAATTTACTCAAGAACCTGGCATGGCGTTAAGAATTTGAATTCTATTCATCGGAAGAAGAGGACTGGTTGCTTGCCCCTGATTTAAAAAGACGCACCAAAAAAATGCAATTTTTTTTTTTTTTTTTAAACTGGAGAGATGGGCACGAAAACGTGGGCCAATTTTAGTGTGGACTTTTTAAAGATTCTCCCCTTCAGAGACAGACCTGCTCTCTTCCATATTGCATTTCTCTTGTAGCACCTTTGGGAATTTAAGAAAGATTTCCCACGTGATCCTTCATGAGGCTTGATTAAGTGAGACAATACCGCTCTCAATACCTATTACACAGAAGCCCCCCCCGGGGGGAATTAGTGACTCTCTTGGGTGGGTGAATGAGAGAAAAAATCTGTTTTGCAAAAAACTGGCAGCGTGATTCGTTTTGTGGCTTCCGAATCGATTGACTCGGGTCTGGTTCAATTAAAAAAAAGAAAGTGTTTCCTTCGATCCAGAGAGAGAATGGCCAATGCGTCGGCATCGATCTGGAGACAATGGATCGGAGCTGACCTTTCAAATCCACTTGCCAATTGGAATCCTGAAAACCAATTTGACAGGGCGATTGCACTTATCTCAGAGTGGAATCCTGCCACAACTTTGATCATTTTAATAATCGCAGCTAGTCCTCAACTTGGGACTGTTCCAAGTTATGACCTACCTGAAAAAAAAAAAAGACTTATAACCTGGATATGACATTCCAACAGATAGGCTCACAATGACGTGACTGCATTTTACGACAGTTTTTGCCCAAAACCAGCACTTTCTCCTGGTTTTCGGCAAAACTCTGCCATAGCGAACAACGGGTTTCCTTAAGGAAGTGTTTGTTTGATAGAGGTGACATTCGTACTTATGAGCTCCAAATTCACTTGACGACGGCTTCAAGAAAATCTTGGTCACTGACCATTATGACCATCGCAGGCAGGCTGCCTTACGGTCATAACTCAAGGACTGCTCGTAGAAATTCCTAAGAAGACTCCCAGATTCTCCCCAGCTATTATTCCACACGGATGCGTTTCTCCATCCTAAAATTCCAAAACTCTGGAAACTTGGAAAACTGCCAAAGTATTCTCATGAGCAGAGCCTGATGGGAAATTCCTCAAAGCATCCCACTGACCACGGAAGATGGCGAATGAGATGGACCGTTTGGCCTGACATGCTTCACTGGCCGAGGTTTCGCGAGCGAACACAATAACAGAGCTTTTAAAGATGGTGTGTGCTTCCGAAGAAAGAGACAGTGGGTTTATTTCAGGTATGTTACACGTGAATGACTCTACCAGCACCCTGTGTGCAGACCAGTGAGACACAAAGGCCATGAAGAAGCCAAGAAACCAGAAAGCCATAGATGAGAATGAAAATGACATGCAAAAGTCGGATCTGATGACATGCAGTTCAAACCTGGTGAGAATATTCATACTTACTTCCAAGATTTGCTGCTCCGATAAGAGGGAGGAAGGGGAAGGAGGGAGGAAGGTTAAAATGGGACAATTAGGGTTAACGAAATGTGGGGTCAGGAACAAGTAATTGGTAAGCTTAAGGAAGGGAAACATCTCAACTATGTTCTCTTAAGGTTATCTGGAAATACCTCTGATGGACAACTCAAATATTATGTAGGCACTCTGAAAAACTTTTCCAGGTTCTAGGCCAAATTCTCTGGTTTTTAAGCAACCATGGTTTTGTTTGTTCCAACATCTATATCCACGATGACTTTGAGGATTTCAATGCATGCTTTTCATTCCAAACTTTTTTTGGGGGTGCTTGGAGCAGAAAGGGGATGAAAAGAGTGATCAAAATTCACATTTAACCACATGACATCCATTGATCAGAATAAGTCCCAGAAGGGACCTTTGGAGGTTCAATTTCAGGTCAAAAGAAACAATGTCAAAGAAACCGTGGCAGATGATTATCTATCACATTGAATTATTCGTGGCCACAATTCCAAAACACCCACTACTATGGTGAGGTGGCCACAGTGAGATGGCCACGGAGAGTTAGCCACGGCAAGATTGCCCCGGAGAGATGACCACCGTAAGTTCAGGGGTGGGATTCTAGCGGTTTGGACCGGTTCAGGCAAACCGGATGTTAAAGTTACATCTGGTTGGCCGAACTGGTATTTCAACCGACTGGCTGGCCCCATCTACCCTGCCCTTCCCCCCTCCTCCCAGGAGTCTCTACGTGGCCCATTTTTGATGGAGATAAGTGCAGGATCTGCATGAAAGGGGAAAAATTGGCCTGTTTCCAGCTTCCGGAGGGCCTCCAGAGGCCAGGGGAGGCTGTTTTCGCCCTTCCAGAGGCCCAAGGGAAGCCTCTGGACTCTTGGGAGAGCGAAAACAGCCTATCCTGGGCTCTGGAGGCCCACCGGAAGCCGGAAACAGGAAGTTTCCATGGCCATGTCCACCCAGTAACCGAGCAACGAACCAGTTGCTGGGATTTTTGAATCCTGCCCTTGGGTGAGTTGACCGTGGCAAGTTGTCCTAGACCAGGGGTGTCCAACCTTGGCAACTTTAAGCCTGGAGGACTTCAACTCCCAGAATTCCCG